AGCTCCTGATCAGCGAGGCTAAGGCAGGCTCCCTGCCTGTCCTGGCCCCGAAAGCGGCCAGCAGGTCCGGCTCCAAAGCGGGGGGGACCAGGAGGCGCCACGTGCTGCTCTCACCCAGAGGCACCCCCCCTTCCCGGCCAATGGGAAGCGGAGCTGGTGTTCAGGGCAGGGGCAGCACATGGAGCTCTCCGTGCCCCCCCCCTGCCTAGGAACCGGACCTGCTCGCCGCTTCTAGGGTGCAACGCAGAGCCAGGACAGGTACGGACTTGCCTGCCTTAGACCCACAGCACCGCCGACCAGACTTTTAACAGCTCAGTCTGCAGTGCTGAGCGGAACCTCTAGGGTCCCTTTTCAACTGGGTATTGCAGTCGAAAACCGGACACCTGGCAACCCTACACAGGCCATGGTACCTCAGGCTGCCCCCAGAGCCAAGGTCATGCAAGTTCCCTCACCTTTGCCCCTTGTTGAGGTGCCTCTGAGACCTTGTCCACCCACTTCCCCAAGAACTTAGTTTGGGTCCAGTCTCATCACTCAGGTTCCTCTATTTAGCAGACAGCATAGCGATGCTGAGTTGATCAGACTCAAACACAAGGGGTGGGTATAGGGCAGAGGTGGGCAAACTACAGCCCGCAGGCCACATCTGGCCCGTGGGACCATCCTGCCCAGCCCTTGAGCTCCCGGCCGGGGAGGCTAGCCCCCGGCTCCTCCCCTGCTGTTCCCCATCCCCCGCAGCCTCAGCTCGCCGTGCCACCAGCGCTCTGGGTGGCAGGGCTGTGAGAGACGCCAGCCTACCCCGGTGCTCTAGACTGTGCAGTGGCGTGACTGGCTCTGGCCGGGCAGCGCGGCTGCCAGCCCTGGTGTTCTGAGTAGCATGGTAAGGGGGTGGGAAGCGGGGGGGTTGAATAAGGGGCAGGGGGTCACGGGACAGGGAGCGGGGAGGGGGGGTGGATAGGTGTGGGAGTCCCGGGGGGCCTGTCGGAGACAGGGGTGTGGATAAGGGTCAGGGCAGTCAGGGGACGGGGGATTGGATAGGGGGTGGGGTCCCGGGGGAGCAGTTAGGGGCAGGCGGTTCTGGGAGGGGGTAGTCAGGGGACAAGGAGCAGGGGGGCTTGGATGGGTCGGAGGTTCTGAGGGGGGCAGGAAGTGGGAGGGGGCTGATAGGGGAGGCACAGCCTTCCCTACCCACCCCTCCATACAGTTTCGGAACCCCGATGTGGCCCTCAGGCCAAAAAGTTTGCCCACCCCGGTATAGGGCGTAACACACACTCAAAGTCACACAGCAAATCTCTTCCTTTATAACATTACATTCCATTTGTTTCACTTTGATCACTTTGTAGGAACCAATCTCAGTACACAATGCGCTGTCCCTGCATATCTTGTATCTCATCTTATGTTCCAGGCTTATTTTATCCATTGTTATCTTGTCCACTACAAATGGTTCCCAGAGTGTTCACCCCATCTTAGCTAATACAAATATTATGTTTCCAGCCTGCTGATCCATTTATCTCCCTTATCCTGTCTCCCAAGAAATGGGGCCTCATCCAGGTCCACTTACTCATCTCAAGCCAGGCCTACACCTGTGAACTGACGCCACTATGAATCAGGCTTAGAATAGCAATGCCATGCTAGCCCTCTCATTGTGCCTCCATTCACAACCCCGAGAGGGTAGATGGGTCTCTTTGCCCATGCAGTTTTTTGCTTCTCCAGTGAGAGACTGTTAACGCGAGCTAATTGTGATGGCGTTTTATGTGCTGTAAGGAACTGTCCACTTACACTGCACTGAAAGGCTTTCAACCCATTTCACGAAAGTCTTGCTTAGATACTTCAATATTCATGTACTTTGAATTGCTACAGAACTGGGCCAAATTCAAATTAGCAACCAAAATGCAAAAGATTGTTGTGTTATCTTGTGGCTTAATACTATGCCCATGGCAACCCAGAACAAAATTAAATAGAAACGGTACAATCAATGTCAGATTTCTACTCAAACACAACACCACTGTGTGATAAACCATCACTGTTCATTTCCACTCGCACTGTTGCCAGAGGACTTACAACCCTGTCTCTAGTAAATTACAAAGATCATTTGAGTCTAGCAATGAAGGAAATAATTACAAGACTGACAATTTTTATCTCTAATTTCACAATTATTTCTATTATGGATATAGCTCAAATACCCAAATCAGGATTGGAATCCCATTGTGCTGGACACTGTACAAACACAGAAGAAAAACAGTACCTGCTTTAGAGCATTTACAGTCTGAAAGCCACAAGAATGCCTGGGATCATGTCGAGGCTGGGTTGGTAGGCTGGCTTTTCCCCAGTCTGCTTTTTACCCAAAAATAAGAGAAATCAAAACAGTCTTGTGTTTTTACTAGTTAGGATGTACAGTAACTCCTCACTTAATGTTGTCCCGGTTAACGTAATTTCGTTGCTGATCAGTTAGGGAACAAGCTAGTTTAAAGTTGTGCAATGCTTCCTTATAATGTAGTTTGGCAGCTGCCTGCTTTGTCCACCGCTTGCAGGATTCTCTGGAAGAGCAGCCCCTCCTTGTGGGGATTAGAACGGGGGGGGGGGAAGAGGGGCAGCAGTCCCCCCATCAGCTCCCCTAAATTCCCTGTAAGGTATATGGCTCGGCAGCTGCCCAGCAGCAGTTCAGCTGTCCCTTCCCCCACTGCCGTGCTGCTCCTGCCCTGCCCTCTGCCTTGGAGCTGCTCCCTGGAGCTTCCTGCAGGAGGGGGGGAGAGGGGTTCTGATATCAGGATGTCCCCCTGCTCCTGCCTCCCACTCCATACCCCCTCTTCACAAAGCAGAGGGAGGGGGACAGGGTTCAAGGACAGAAAGGAGGGAGCTTGGGGGAAGCTGTTGCTTCCTGTCTGAACAGGCTGATCTGTTTAAAAGGGCAACATACTTGAAGTGGGTTCAGCGTACTTAAAGGGGCAATGCACATCTCTCTCTCTCACTCATGCATGCACCCCCCAGCACTTTGGAAAGTCAGCACCTGTGCAGCCGTGCATGTGCTGTCAGGAGGAGGAAGTGGTGCGCTCCAGCTGCATAGCGTGGGCTCATCATCATGTTCAGTTTTTTCAGGGAAGTGTTTGCAGCTACTGCTCTGCATCTATTGTGTTTCCTCCCTCCTGCCTCAGTCCATGCTGCCTTGTAGAGTGTGAGGCTACATTAACAACAGCATATTAACCCTTGAGGGCTCAGCCAAGTGCTAGTTCATCATTCAGCAGCAAGGCATTCCCTGGGAACTATTCCCCCCTCTTACTCCACCATCTCAACCAAGCTTCACAATCATTCATTGCTGTGTACAATATTAAACTGTTTGTTTAAAATTGTTTAAAACTTATACTGTATATGTATATAATGTCTTTTGACTGGCAAAAAACATTTCCCTGGAACTTAACACCCCCCACATTTACATTAATTCTTATGGGGAAATTGGATTCGCTTAACATCATTTCACATAAAGTCACATTTTTCAGGAACATAACTACAGCATTAAGTGAGGAGTTACTGTAATCCTGATGAAAGAGAAAACAAGCGTGGGCAGGAGCATAAAAAGTCAGTGTTGCCATCCTGTATGATATCTGGTGTTTCTTAAACACCAAGCTCCTGGAGGCATGTGATGATGGGAATCTCAGCTTTCATTAAAAAGAACACTGTTTCTAGACCTCATAGTTGAGACACATGCTTGAAAACATGACCTGAGTGTTCTGTCACAAGTCCACTCAAGCACCGTCTCTTGGCCATTCACCAGACTGTTGTGAAGGAATCCAGCCTCTGGAGTTTGAACAGAGCCCAGGCACTGATCCCAGCTTGGGGGCCCTAGGCATGCTCTCAGAGTGCAGATCCTCTGCCTAGCATCCCAGCCTGAGATCTTAGCCCATGCAGTCCCTCTGCCAAATCCTTGGAACCAGTGCTAACTCCTCAGACTCCCCACTTAGCATCAACACCCCCGTCTCAGAGCTTCAGCTGAAGGTGTGAGCTCTCTGGTTTACCTCTTCAAGGGCCCACATAAGGTGTAGCACATAACCCACATAAATGTTGCACAGGACTTGCATACAACATTTCTCTTTAATAGCATGAGAAATACACAGACCTATACAAAATAATAAACCACTCATTTTCCTGCCTCAGTTTCCTCACTGCTCCTCAGCATTCTTGGGACTGGGGTCAGAGTCCTTGGTTAAGCCACAAGTCCGCTCCAGTGTATGGTCTGTGTCCTGAAACATGGAGCCGTCTCTCCTCAGCTTGCCTTCCATTACGGTGGCTGTCAATCCCCTTCCCCTCCTGTCTGCATGGCTCCTCTCTCTCTCCCCCTCACCCCCACCCCTAAGCCCTCCCCCCCAGTCCTTTTTATAACCTTCTTAATCACTTGTCGCTTTGGCCTGCTTGGTAACTTTCCACTGCTCCAAACCCCATCCCCTGTTGAGGGAAGTGGGAGAGAACTGGTGTCCCAACTCTCACACCCTCCTTAGCATAACCATTGTGGTTAGAGTTGTCAAGTTGTCATGACCCATTATTGTCCCTGTTCTGGCAGAGATCTGACAACCCTGTCAGCTCATAGTAGGTACACATAAGAGGTATTACTGATACAGCAATTTTCATAGTAGTATAATGTCAGACAGAATTCATAAGTTGTACATACTTTCCCTGAGTCACCACATGTACCCTAATCTCTCAGAAACTAAAAGGCCAATAAAAAACCCAGGTCCATTCACAATTTTGGGGACCTGACATTTAAACACTTCAGTGTTTGTAATACTATAGGTCATGGGAGCAGAAGGAGAGATTGAAGGAAGAGAGCTAGCAGAAAAATCAGTGTTGGAGAAAGAAGAGGAGTGTGCTAAGAAACCTGGCGGGAGGGGGTAGAGGGGAAGACCTATTGGATTTTTTTCTTTGGGGAAACTTAAGATCCTGCACAGAGAGGGAAGAGGGCTTAAAGAGGGAGTCAGAGGCAGCTGGTGGTTGTTGGGTTCCTCAACCCCCGCCCTTTGGGGAAAGTCTAGACACAATTCCCCCAACCACCACCACAACTTATGCAGTCAGGTTTCCTGCAAGTGGGGATATGGCAGGGGTCACCACACTTGTAGTACAATGGATAAGCCTCACCCTGGGAAAACCACCTTGTAATCATAGTCTCTCCCCTGCCAGGTGAGTGAATGAGTATAGGATTCCATGGAATACTCCTGGGGGGATTCTGTACCAAAAAATTTAAAAATTCTGCACCCAATATTTTAAAATTCTGCATATTTTGTCAAAATAAACACAAAATAATTATGCCAGTTCCAATTATTTTGGTAATTATTTCAAAATCCCTGCCAGCAAGTATGTCTGTAGCAATACAGAGAACAAAATGATTCAGGAAATATTTGACAAATAGATTAAATACTAGGCATATTAATACAGAACTTAGAGTAATAATTCATTTAAACAACAATACAGAAGTATATTTCCTGCACATCTCAGAAGCAGTGCAAGGGCTTGGGGGGAGTAGGGGTAACGGAGCAGCTGAAAGAGAGGGAAGTAATTGCTGGGAAGGGGTCTGGGTGTGAACTTGGACAGTTGTTGGGTGTGAGAGGGAGAACTATGGAACAGGGTTTTTTGGAGCAGGGAGAGATTGTTAGGGAGTTAGAGAACCTCACCCCCATGCAGACCCCTAGCCTTTTCCATTTAATCAGGCACATCTGTCCCTGTGTGTCCCTGCACCCTCCCCATGTTTCCCTCCACCTGCACTCCCATTCAGCAACAAAGTCAATACAGAAATAATATGCATAACTGCTTGCTTATTTGTTACAGGATGTTTGTCTCATTAAAAATGCACAGAAATGCATTGACATGGCAGTATCAAGTTGGTATTCCATAGCATTTTAAATGAAGCAAAAAACAGATTAACTGCATGATATGAATCTGTCTGAGTTTTCTGGTCAGCTTACTTTTTCTTAAATACTTGATGGCCCACCTGATCTTCACACATTAAATCCTACAGCAGTAAAACAATTGGTAAGTATATAGTGTTGTAAGCTATATTTCCTATATTTAGCTGCTTCCCATAAAAAAAAACCCACACTGAAAGACCAGCTGAGCGACCACATTAAAAAAGGGTTTTGCTTCCTGCAGGTTTCAGTAATTAGATTTTGACACTTGCATTAAACTTTAAAAAGTAATGTATGAAAATATAAATGCATTACAATTTCTCTATAGTGGTGGAATTTTGCACACTTTATTATTAAAACATCCTATTATTGATTAGATGCACTGAAGTAACAAGGGAATTACAAAAAGAGGGTATAACTAAAAACAGTAGTTAGTAAGAAACAACTACAATAGTATCAGAGTGGTAGCCGTGTTAGTCTGGATCTGTAAAAAGTGACAAAGAGTCCTTTGGCATCTTATAGACTAACAGACATATTGGAGCATAAGCTTTCGTGGGTGAATACCCACTTCGTATTCACCCACAAAAGCTTATGCTCCAATATGTCTGTTAGGGTATGTCTACACTACGAAATTAGGTCGAATTTATAGAAATCGGTTTTATACAGTCGATTGTGTGTGTCCCCACATAAAATGCTCTAAATGCATTAAGTCGGCGGACCGCGTCCACAGTACTGAGGCTAGCGTCGACTTCCGGAGCGTTGCACTGTGGGTAGCTATCCCACAGTTCCCGCAGTCTCCGCCGCCCATTGGAATTCTGGGTTGAGATCCCAATGCCTGATGATGCAAAACAGTGTCGCGGGGGGTTCTGGGTACATGTCGTCAGGCCTCTCCCCCTCCGTCAGAGCAACGGCAGACAATCGATTCATGCCTTTTTACCTGTGTTACCTGTGCAGACATACCACGGCAAGCATGGAGCCCGCTCAGCTCAGCTCACCGTCACCATATGTCATCTGGGTGCCAGCAGACATGGTACTGCATTACTACACAGCAGCAGCTAATTGCCTTTTGCCTTTGGTGTATTACGACTGGTATCCGTCATCGTCGTATTCCAGTAGGGTGACCAGATGTCCCGATTTTATAGGGACAGTCCTGATTTTGGGGGCTTTTTCTTAGATAGACTCCTATTACCCCCCACCCCCGTCCTGATTTTTTACACTTGCTATCTGGTCACCCTATATTCCAGTTTGATCAGAGGCACCTGGGCAGACATGCTTTGTCTCCTGGAGACTCAGTCCTGCCGGCAGTCCTATTGAACCGTCTTGACGATGATGGCTAGCAGTCGTAGTACAGTATCTTCTGCCAAGCACCCAGAAGATGCCGAGGGCTATCAGTCATGCTGCACCGTCTGCTGCCAGCTTAAGATGTAAAAAATAGATGGACCAGATTTGTTCTGTATTCATTTGCTTCCCCCTCCCTCCGTGAAATCAACGGCCTGCTCAACCGAGGGTTTTTAGTTCAATCTTTGGGGGGGCCATTCTGTGTGACAGTGGTTTGTGTTTCTCCCTGATGCACAGCCACCTTTGTTGATTTTAATTCCCTGTACCTGTACGCCATGTCGTAACTCGCCCCTCCCTCCTTCTGTCAGTTTCGCACCTTTTTTCAGACCAGACGCCATAGTACTGGGATCATGGAGCCCACTCAGATCACCGCGGCAATTATGAGCACTATGAACACCACGCGCATTGTCCTGGAGTATATGCAGAGCCAGGACCTGCCAAAGCAAAACCAGGACCAGCCGAGGAGGCGATTGCAGCGCGGCGACGAGAGTGATGAGGAAATTGACATGGACATAGACCTCTCACAAAGTACGGGCCCCAGCAATGTGGAAATCATGGTGTTACTGGGGCAGGTTCATGCCGTGGAACGCCGATTCTGGGCCCGGGAAACAAGCACAGACTGGTGGGACCGCATCGTGCTGCAGGTGTGGGACGATTCCCAGTGGCTGCAAAACTTTCGCATGCGTAAGGGCACTTTCATGGAACTTTGTGACTTGCTTTCCCCTGCCCTGAAGCGCCAGAATACCAGGATGAGAGCAGCCCTCACAGTTGAGAAGCGAGTGGTGATAGCCCTGTGGAAGCTTGCAACGCCAGACAGCTACCGGTCAGTCGGGAATCAATTTGGAGTGGGCAAATCTACTGTGGGGGCTGCTGTGATCCAAGTTGCCAGGGCAATCAAAGATCTGGTGATATCAAGGGTAGTGACTCTGGGAAACGTGCAGGTCATAGTGGATGGCTTTGCTGCAATGGGATTCCCAAACTGTGGTGGGGCGATAGATGGAACCCATATTCCTATCTTGGCACCGGAGCACCAAGCCACCGAGTACATAGACCGCAAGGGGTACTATTCAATGCTGCTGCAAGCCCTGGTGGATCACAAGGGACGTTTCACCAACATCAACGTGGCATGGCTGGGAAAGGTACATGATGCTCGCATCTTCAGGCACTCTGGTCTATTTCGAAAGCTGGAGGAAGGGAAGTAGTATAAGGACCTTACCGTCAATCAAACCCTAACCCCGCCCCTCGACCCCTTAAGCCCCACCCCTTGACCCCTTGGTCCCGCCCACCTGTCACCGGAAATCCCACCTCGTGGGGGTATTACTTCCAGGGTCAAGACCAGCATCGAGAAAAGCATCTACATTGAGGTGCCGCCTCTATCGGCCATTACGGAGTCTGCCCCCTTTGACTTTTTTATAGCAGGGAATGGCATAGATTATATGGATTTAAACAACATGCTGCTGTACCTGTGTTGCAAGATTGTAAAATGAGATGAAACTGAACGTACCATCTTCCGTCATGGGCAATGCGGCCAACAGAGATCTTTTGGAACGCCTCAAGGCCTCGACTGCTGACACCGGGGTGGATCGAGAAACCGTGACCCCTTTTTTGCTGTCTAAAAAACGAAAATTGGCTAAAAGAGCCGAATGGCTCAGTGTGTAATGTTTTTCACATTCTAAATTTTTTTTTAAAATGGTAATGTTTTGCTTTAAATAAAACATTTCTATAATTTAAAAAAAAAATCTGTGTACTTTTTTC